TTGTCTCAGTGTGCCCTGGGGGCGGGGCCAGCATGGCAGGCCTGGGGACCTAATCCGCTGAGCTATTTGGCCAACCCTATAAAATTCTATCTTAAGGACAATAAATAAATCTGAATATGAACTAATTACCTGAATTACTCTACACTCAGAATTTGTTACTAAATTTTTCATTAATGTAAAACAACTTAGTGTTACATTTTGTACATAATATTTATAATTTTTATCAATTAAAATTAATTTAAAAGTGTTACATTTTCATTGAAATAGCTTTTATAGATGAAGAAAAGAGTATATATGCTAAATCATGTAAACATTCCAAGTAACTCCAAAACTTATGCATGAGGCAAAACAGGATGATTACTGAAAAAAACCCTAAAATTTTACTTTTAGATTGTATTTGATGCGCCCCCCCCCCCCGCCCCATGCTGGGGATTCAACCAGGACTTTGCCCCTGCTAGGCAAGTTCTGTACTCTATTTCCCTGCTAGCTATTTGTTGAGTAACAGTATTTCCCAGTAGAGAATAAGCCCTATCACAACAGAAACTTTACCTGCCTTGTCATGTACATCTAGTCACTGAATATCATAACTGGTGTATTATATATCCCTATATGTGTTGAATGAGGGGCTGCGGAGATAGCTATGTGTTGAATGAATAAGAAACTAATGCTAAATTTGAGCATTGAGTGAGACGAGCCAGGCCTCCGATCCTGAACAGACCTAGAACCCAGGCCAGGCGTGTGATACCACCTGGGGCCCATGGATTCTGAATAGACCCAGAATGCAGGCCCAGCGAGGAACTCTTCGGCAGAACTCCCTGCAAAGAGGCTAAAGGCAAGACCCACCCAGCTGATTCAGGAGCAAAACATCTTGCCAGAGTGACACAAAGGGTTCAACTCCAACGGCTGCAGCAGAAATAAGTGGAGCACAGCAGCCAGACTCTAGCCAGATCCAAGTAACACCCACCTGGAGGAATCTCAACTTCATAGATCCGGACCTGGTGCTAAGGTAATAACTCTATCTAAGCTCTACACCAAAGCTCAGAAGACAGTGGTATCCAAAATGACAAAGAGAAGGAACAAAATGCAGTCTCAGGCCCTCAGTCCACCCAGTCCAAATGCATAAGACACTAGCACTGAGGAAACTGGAAATCACACACCTGATATCTCTGAAATAATAGTGTTGGAAGTAATGAAACAACTGCAGAAGATATAGAAGAAATCAGATAAGAAATCATATCTGAACTAAAAAATGTAGTGATGACTATAATCAAAGAAGTACTAAGTGCTTCTAAAGAATACACTGATAAAAAAAAAATAGAGCATGATATAAAAATGATAGAGCACCTGAATAAGCAATTTAGGAAAGAAATAGAATGTATGAAACAGATTTAAAATGATATACAGGAAATTAAAACCTCAATCACAAGCTGGCAAAACCATTTGTGTGAAAGTGAAAATAGACTTTCTAACCTTAAAGACACCCTTGCAGCTAGTGAAAAAGAAAAGATCTCTTAAAAATAAGTAGGATGCAGGAAAAAATAATTCAATACCTGCAAGACGATGCAAAGATGAACAATGTGAGACTAATAGGCATCAATGAGAAGGAAGGACTCAAAACAAAT